TGCCGTATGGGGCTAAATATATTTCGCGCCAACATAGATTTGGCACAAGAGAAACCCGTTTTGTCGATCACCTTTATGGAATAACTAAACTTTCCATCATATTGCGGAGTGAAAGGTTAGGACTGAAACGGTCCGCAATTTTATTAAGACAATTATACCGTGGAAGCTCTCGTAAGCGGACACCCTCGGAAAACGAAAAAAATGTCCGTAATTGGAGTTGTCGGCAGCTTACGAGAGTGTCCGTCAGGAAAGCTTCCACTGAATTTGTAAATTCTAAGCATAAATACCTTTCAATTGTTAATTTACATTAACTACAGCCACCCACATAATCTTTCGTTGACAACAATTTATTGATCCTTTTTTTTCCTAATTAACTTGAAGACGAGCATATAAGTTGGGATTGAGTGACCAAACACTGACTCGCCTCCAAGATTTTTCTGTGTTTTTTCCTAGAGGATAAAACATCAGCACCTGACGTTTTCAGTAGCTGTTTGTTCATCCCTTGCGCACATTTTGAGACAAGTTTAGTGATGGTCAGTTGCTATGGTTACGAGATATGACGTCATAAATAGCAGGTGGTGAAGCCATTTTTGGGTGAAAATGCATGTTTTTTCAACTTCTTTCAACAATTTAAGTAAATCTTGTGGCTAAAAACATGCAAAATGCTTATTTATGTGTTATTTTTCATGTAAAGCACAAAAAAATTGCCATTTCTCGCGTTTTTACCCTGATTTCTAATTCTTGGTGAAATCCAAGATGGCAGCCAAGATGGCGACCATTTCTGGTGACGTAACAGGCCTCCAGCAGCGCCACCACCCGTAAAATATACCTCATCTTAAGACTTTCCACTCAAGAGAAAATCGTTTCGAGATACTGTAACATATCAAAAACTCCGGCGAGGAGCTCCATCCAACTCCCCCCATGTACTACGATGGGGGTATGAGTTTGCGTGTACGTCCGAGAATTAATCAAACAATCTTTTTAGCAATGAAAACTGTATTAACCTGACATCCACGAAGGTTTGTTTCTACACAAAAATATGAAAAGAGCAGTTCGGGTTTATAGTAGGCTGAAAAAAATGCCGACATTTCGCGACGCCACCACTTGCTTCCCAGCGAAATGACGTCTGAAGGACAAGCTCAGAAATACCATGAGAGAGAACCTGAGAACGAGGTTGAAATACCATACTGAAGATCTGCGTAGTCCTTCTGATTAGTTGTGCCGCGAGGGAAACTTTCTTTAACCTAACAGAAGCACTACTCAGATCTTGGTAGTGACAAATCATCAGCTGAAATGGAATTTCTGCGCTCGTTCCTCCGCAATTCTACCAAACTACAGATAAATACACTATAATCATGGTTTGGACGCCGTCTTGGACCGGCCTGGCACATTTGTCCTAAATCTCATGCTCGGCTGCCGGGATCTGGTATTTACACGTGAGTGAAACTACAGCGCAAACGCCGTTTTTTTTCCTTCCTGCAGCGTTGTGCCGCGTTGTTTTCGCTTAGTAATTGTTGGTTTCGCAGCTTTGAAGTACATCTTTTCGCAGTTTACCTCGAAGCCTCTTTTTGCAGCTTACCCTGAGGTAAGTGAAGTTTTGTTGAGTTGTTCGAACTTTTAGTAGCAAATATATCTAAAGCAAGTTATCATGATATCAGAAATCTATGTTGGGGTGTGTTTTCTAGCAAACTGACACTTCGTTTCGCTCCGCCTTTGATAACGACCTATGTTGGATCAAATCAGCTGCCTATCTCAGGAGGGACATAAGTAAAATGAAATTCGTAGAGTAACGCATTAAAAATACATGAAGTAACGAAAAACTAAACAAAGAATTCAGTAACATGAAAGAAGAAAGTTTTTAACTCTGGACTAGCCTCAGATTAGGCTCAATTTTTGTTTGGCTTTGTAAATAACGTTCCGGCGGGCAAGGCGAAACGAAAAGAGAGCCTGATACAACTTCTGCGAAGCGTCTGCCGCCCACCTTTTTGATTGATTGACATTTGCTGAATCAGCCAACCAAAATCACTTCCGTTGCTTGTTTTTTTAGTATGCAAATTTTTTCATACGTGGGAAAACTGCAGACTCACTGACTTAAAAATAGCTTTTACCTTTTAATTTTTTAAACTAAAAATAAAACACTCAGCACAATCACATTTAACTTCTTACGAGATAAAAGGAGATCTCAAAGGTCACTTCTGTTCGCGTAGAAGGTAAAACGTTTTCGAAAAGACGGCGAGACGATATTCTAGTTTTAATATTTTGGCTAGGCGCACTCGAATTTAAAATACTGAATTTTCTATTTTTCCGATGCCTTTATATATTTGTGAACAACCATCTGAATTTTCTAGATTTCCATGGCACATATAAAAGTATATTTTGCTACCATAAGACCATAAAACACTAAAAAGGACAGCAAAATCGATCCTTTTCTCGGCCGACAGCTGATCACTCGCGAAAACAACCACCGGAGGAATAAGCGCTTTTGACTTCCGTTTATTCCAACAGCCAATCAGATCTTGTGGCATTCTTCTAACAGCCAATCAGCCTGAACTCAGGTTACTCTGGATTGGAACGAATATAAGGAGGGGGCATCCCAAATGAAAGCATTCAGCTTGAAGAAGACAGGACCTTGATAAAAAATAGAAAACTCTCTTATGTTGGAACAGCAGAAAGGAATGTGAAATCTATTTGAACTACGCTTGTTATAACTGTGAACTTGATTAGTACGTAAAATGGATCTGGAAAAACTGTGCATGTAAGGAACTGAGTTATTTTTGAAAGAAAACATAAATTTCCCGAGATGCAAAGACCAGATGTCTTCTAACTTAAGGATCATAAGATTCTTAAATAGTGGATCAGTTTGAGCGTCAAAGCCCTTCTTGCTGATAATTCGAACAAATGCGCTTTTGCAACAAGACTAGGCGCCTAAGGTGGGTAGGATATGTCGAACCCCACACTAAAATGCAATATTGAAGATAAGAATACACAACTGTCCGCGTCACAGAAGTGTCCGTATTGTACAGGCTGGAATTGTTTTGACTTACGACACTCCAAACGAGCAATTAAATAAAGGATTTAGCTTCTACGCGGCAAAAGTTGTACCATAATTATTGCAGTTTCAAAGCCAAGTAAATTTAAAGAAACCTCCGGTAACGAACGGTCCTCCGTGAACGAGTTACTGGACCACGGGTCAGTAAAGTGCACTTCAACTCAGTGTAGAGCCTTCTAACCTTCTCATTATGAAAAGCGCGAATCCAAACAACAAATAAACGACAGCTGGCTTGTGTCGGTAAAGTTACAGTTAACGCCACTTAGTGTGGATATCTTAGTAGGGACGGCGACCTAATGTCTTTAATAGTACGAGAGTCCGGGTATATCGGGAGTTTAGTTCAGTCAAAAGTGTCTCCGTGTATCATCGAAGTGTCCGTAAAAGCAAGCTGTCCTCGAGGCGAGAGTTGGCTGTATTTTGTAAATAAACTTATGTTAAAAACAAACAGCTTAGTGGTATAAAAAGAGGAATTGATGATACAAAAATTAGGATCAAGCCTAACGGAATTCTTTATAAACTAATACTTACAAAACGTCGTTTTCTTATTAGAAGGCAGAATCCAATACAAGATAAGCAAATTTGCAACATTATGAGCAGCCGTGTTATTCTTTCGCCAGGATACCATCGATATTCTGAGTCGTTTCTATGGAACTGAACGAAAAATAATACTTTTTTGGATACATCGTTTCTTTTCTTAGAGAAAAATACTTATGATCCAGATTTTTGATCCGGTTCATCTCGAATTTTAGTAAAGAAACACACCCTCAGCTTGTGTTAGCAAAATTTTTTAAACGTGAAGTGTTTTCGTGTTTACCGAAAGTTGATCACGGGATCACAGTCATGCAAAGGGCCTATTCAGCCAATTGCCGCAAATGACTGCCATCTCAAAAAAAAATCCAGCCTCTACTCATTTCAATATTCTTCGGCCAAGGTTATTTTGCTTTGCTTTTGGCTTCTGAACCAATCGCAATCACGAAACCGATATTCAGAAATGGTTATCAACGCGGAATGTTTTTAGCTGTGATACATCCTGTTCATCAAACTTTTGGCTAGCGCTGGTAAATTAACGTTTTACTGACTAGTTTTGCCATTACTGATTATAAGGAAGCCATTTCATACGGCTTATCAAAAAAATAATTATTGTATTGTATTTTTCAATTTTCCTCACAAAAATTTAATTATATTCTTTTCAAAATCTCTCCGTCTAAAAACGTGTAAACTGTTATCTTCTAACTTTACTTGGCTAAATGTAACGTGTGCTAATTGGCCACTCATGCAATGTTCTCCCTCAAGAAGTGAATCTTAAGCGAACTTTTGACCATTGGACAGAATTTACTTTTCTTTTACTTGCAAATAACTAAATTGGCCTTGTCTTTGTTGTATTTTTAATTAAGGACCGAACAGCAACAGGTAGCAAGCTTCTAAACTCTTTTGGTAAATCTTAGCTTGCCTCTTGTAACAGTTTTTAACTAACAATCGGAACACTTTCAGATTTCTTGGTCACATTTGTTGTGGTTCTCAGATAAAAAATAAAACAGAATATATATCCTCGGGTTAAATTTTGAACACAATGTGTTTGTTAATAATTACATTTTCATTTGAAAACGTTATGGCACCACTGGAGTCCAGTGACGTGTCAGTAAAATGCCCGGAAACCACTGTCGAATTCTTTATCCAACTGCCACTGACAGAGACGCTGAACTAAGGAACGAGCCGAGTAATGTCTTCCGCGAGGCGAACGTTTATTCATTTTAAGGCAATATTTGTCATAACTTTGTTTCTAATTTATCTCAACTGGAAGCTAACCCAGAAAGAATGGCAACTAAACTTCTCTAAAAAAAGTGACGAGCTCATGAATCAAGAGAATTTTACAAGGCAAAACAATGTAAGTCACCTCGAGAGGAAAAACGCAAAGTTTTATATCGCATTTCGATATTTTGAACAACTTTCAATGGCCACTAACAATCTGATCGCCCTCACAGCTTTAGCAAGCTACAGTGGACACCAAGTTGTTGTACCTTTTGTAAATAATTCAAAGTTTTTTGGTTATAAAGTGAGCAGTGATGACACTCAAACACTGGCATTGTACTACAATCTGAGCGCATTTAACAACACGCTTCGTTCACACGGATACAGCACTTTGGTGAGCTGGGAAAGATTTCAGAATGTTTGCCGAGACAAGTTGGACTTACTGATACAATTTAGTTATGGTGAAGAAGCTTCACGCCGACAACAAACAACAGAACTTCAAGGTTTTCAAACTAGATTTGGATTCAATATATCGAAAACTGTTCGCGTGGATTCCGGAATGCTTCGATCGATTGAATCTTTTCTTGACAAAGTGGTCAACGGTAGCACATTTATTGGGATCCAGCAGTGGAGAGGAAACGGAACAGGATTAGATCGAGCCTTCTTTGCACTTCCAAACAATATTTATTCTTCCCTTTCAAAGTCGCATTTATCATTCAATGAGAAACTTTTAGAAATCGCCGATGACTTTATAAATAAGACTTAAGGTTTGAACTATATTTCCCTTCATATGCGCACGGAAGGGATTTTAAAGCGTTCCGATGGTAATTTTACCACTTTAGTCAATTGTATCAAGAAACAGGTATCACTGGTTAAGAACATTGGAGCCCGTCATCCCAATTACGATAAACTTTTTGTTGCTGCAGATTTTACAGCGTTTGGTTCGCAGTCTAAATGGGCCAGAGAAGCACGTAGTAGAGCCTCTTTGCTCTTAAACCACTTAAATGAACTGTTCCAAAAAACTGTATTTTTTCAGCCGCATTTCTATAATCTTAGAGACAATGGAGCCGTAGCCATTGTTGAAATGGCTGTCCTTGCTTCAGGGAAACAGTTATTCTTAACCGGAGGGGGAAGTTTTGAATATTTCATAAGAACAC